GTATGGAGTTTCCTCAAAAAACTAAAAATAGAATGATATAATCCAGTAACCCCACCACTGGGTATATATACAAAACAAATAAATATATCGAAACTCATCTGCACTCCCATTTTTACTACAGCATTATTTACAACAGCCAAAATGTGGAACCAACCTAAGTGCTATTAATAAATGAATAAAGAAAATGTGATATCAAATACGCAATGAATTATATGTATCCATAGGAATAAAGTGATAGGAATGAAATTCTATCATTTACAACAACATAGATAGAACTGCAGGTCGTTAAGTGAAATAAGCCAAGTACAGAAAGAAAAATATTGCATGTTCTGACTCATATGTTGTAGCTAAAAAAGTGACTCTCATGAAGATACATAGATTGGTGATTACCAGAGGCCAGGAAGGGTAATGGGGAGGAGATGAAGAGAAGTTGATTAGTGGGTACAAATATATGGTGTGATGGAAGTAATAAGACCTAGTGTTAGATCAGTAGGGTGACTACAGTTTACAACAATCTATTGTATATTTTTAAATAGCTAGAAGAATTTGAATGGTTCTAATATAAAGAAAAGATAAATATTTAAGGTGATGGATCTATATCCCATGCACACTGATTTGAGCTTTACAAATTACATTAACATATTAAATTATCGCATGTACCCTAAAACCATGTATATCTATTATGCATCAAAGTTTTTAAGAGAAAAGAAACAAAGAGAAAATAAGTTCTTCTGTGCACCTTAGCATCTCATTTCTTGTAATATTTTGTTTTGTTTAGCATTGCTTAGAACTCTAAGGAAATTTTGAAGAAACTTTAGTTCTCCTTGTGCAATATGAAATCTTTAGAGTAGTATTCTAAAATTTCAACTGCCAAGTAGTAAACTCTTCTTACTGCCAACAACGAAAAAAGCAGCAAATTCACTAATTCTTATATTCACATTCAAGTTAGACCCCCCAATCTAGGATTTGTTATATAGGTAAACTCATGTCACAAGGATGTAGAAGATTGTTGTACAGATTATTTTGTCACCAGGTACTAAGCCTAGTTTTCAATAGTTATCTTTTTCTGATCCTCTCCTTTTTCCTCTACCCTCCGCCCTCAAGGCCTCAGTTGTTTTCCTCTATGTGTCCATGTGTTCTCATCGTTTAGGTCCCACTTATAAGTAAGAACATGTGGTATTTGGTTTTCTGTTCCTGCATTAGTTTGTTAAGGATGATGGTCTCCAGTTTTATCCATGTTCCCACAGAAAACATGATCTCGTTCTTTTTATGGTTGCATAGTATTACATGGTGTATATGTACCACATTTACTTTATCCAGTCTACCATGAATGGGCATTTTGATTCCATGTATTGCTATTGTGAATAGTGCTACAGTGAACATACGCCTGCATGTGTCTCTATGGTAGAACAATTTGTATTCCTTTGGGTACATAGTCAGTAATGGGAGTGCTGGGTCAAATGGTAGTTTTGTTTTCAGCTCTTTGAGGAATTGCCACACTGCTTTCCACTATGGCTGAGCTAATTTACAATCCCACCAACTGTGTTTAAGTGTTCCCTTTTCTCCACAACCTCATCAGCATCTGTTGATTTTTGACTTTTTAATAATGGCCATTCTGACTGGTGTGAGATGGTATCTCATTGTGGTTTTGATTTGCATTTCTCTAATGATCAACAATGTTGTTAAGCTTTATTTTTCATATGCCTGTTAACTTGCATATATGACTTCTTTTAAAAAGTATGTGTTCATATCCTGTGCCACTTTTAATGGGGTTGGTTTCTTCTTGTAAATTTGTTTAAGTTCCTTATAGACGCTAGACATTAAACCTTCATCAGATGTATAGTTTGCAATATTTTTCCCATTCTATAGGTTGTCTGTTTACTCTGTTGATAGTTTCTTTTGATGTGCAGAAGCTCTTAAGTTTAATTAGATTGTTCTCTGCATTGACACTATACTGGACTTTTCATTTAAAGCTAATTGGTCTAATATGGGTGTTTTTATTCTTTTCAATATTGTAATAGAAGCCTATTTGCTGTTATTTGGAAGATAAAAGTACTATGTAGGTTTAAATTTGCTATAGGAAATTAAACAAAAGGTTTCACTGGAGACATGGCCTCACTGGAACACCATATGCCATGGAAAAGTAAATACAAAGCTATGGAAGCCAGTGCTTGATCAAAATTATTTAAAGTTTTGAAGAAACAGGGAACGGTGAAGAAACTAAATGGAAAGATACAGAAAAAAGATCTTAAATAACCATTCCTCAAAATAAAACACACACACCTTAAAAGTAATGTAAACAATCTACTGTTGCTTACATCATCTTTACAAGGGCTTTATAATGGCTACAATAATAACAGCCACCCTGCAGTGTCTGCTTTTTCTAGGCTAGGCACTGTACTCCACTTCACATGCATTGCTGCATTCAATCCTACTGCAAGCCTCAGAGATCAGTAGCATTACTTTTTTTTTTCAGCTAAGGAAATTGGTGGAAAAAGGTAGCAGATCTCAGAAACAAGTTGAACTGAATTTTCCTCCGTAGAAAAGCATCAGTCATGTGCTCTTCTGGGTTGAGAGAATATAGTAATCTACTCATCCTCTTCACTAAATAATAATGTTCACTGGTCTCTTTCTATTTGGGATTATACCTATTAGGAAGTTTGCCCCCATTGAAAAAGACAGAAAACTTCAGCTCTTGCTTCTATAAATGATAGCTGAGTAAGATGGGCAAATGGTTCATATACTACCATACCCTGCTGAGTGATCCTCTCTTCATAATCAAAGGTTAAGAACTCTGAATAGTCCACTTCATCAGTACAGAGTCAGAGTACAAAGTTAAACAATTACTGAATTCCCAAGTAAGTAGCCACACTTAGCATAAATGCACATATTTTCATACTGCAAAAAAAGGTGAAATTAGAGTTTCACACTAATAGGCTATTAATTAGTCTACAACACAGCATAAACTATGATCTATATCATACATAGATGTATAAATTTTTATAAATGGAAGAAAAATTCTATTACAGATATCTAAGGTTTTACTCTTACCATCTAACATATGTATCTACATTTTTAAGTATCAGATTTATTAGTTCAGCTTAGCAGTCAAATTCTATTAGACTTAAATCCAGGCTCTTGGCTCTGCCCTTTCCTTGCTGTTGATCTGAGCAGCTGCCTGTTGTATTTGCTTTGGGTGGTGGTGGTTGTTTTAAGTGTAAAATGGAGATAGTGCCAACATTTGACAGGCTCATTGTGAGAATTAAATAAGATGATATATTCAAAGAGCTAAGTATGGTACCTGGTACATAGTTAAGTGTTCGCTGAAATTGTAGGTACTATTATTATCACAAATGTCTCCTAATATTCTAACTATGATGTACACTAATAAACTACAGTATGTATCACAGCATGTCAATGGAACCTATCCCAGTGGGAATGTATGTAACTATTTTTATTAGAACCTGGAAAAGATAGTAGTTTAAACTATGGGTCTCTGCATTTCCTTCTTGCTGTTCTCAGATATAACCACCCCCAAAAACGGCATTTTTGGGAATCAGTCTCTTTCCAAACTACCAAGATCCAGTTTTGAGGAAGTCCTTATTTGTAAATTATGACAAATATTAAGACTTGTGAGATTCTGAATGGAAATAGCCAAGTGAAGGATTATTTTACAAACTACTAGAAAAATCTCAAATCATATTGTATTCATAGGATGAATTCATAAATACTGATAATCAAATTTAAAATACACATTTTAAATCTTATCCTAAATAATGGTACAGCATTCTACAATATAACAGAAAATAAAAATATTTTATGCTTAGTTTTATAATTATATATATTTTAGATATATAGGACAATCTAATGAAAGAAGCAATGAGTATTTTTTTCCTTGTAGAGCATTAATTTGGTACTAATACCAAATTAAATTAGGATATGGAGCACATAAAAAATTAACATAGCTCCACAGGAACTGACATTAATTTCCTACAAAATTAAAATTCCAGAGAGTCATAAACTAAAGAATGAAAAAGATTATTTTAAATCTCAACATGTGAAAGACACACTAAGTTTTAAGAGACATTTCTCCTTACAAATACATGAAGAAATAGAGTACTTGAATAAGGACAATTTCTTCTGAAATATCAGGCTTCCTATAATTTACATAATGTCGATAGTTTTCTTTTTGTAATGAAGGTTTTGGGCACAATGAATTTCATTTTGTCAGATTAAGAAAAATAACCTTAAGGAAAAAAATGATCACAATAGTATTAATACAATAGTGACATGAAATAGAAGGATACCTACAGCATCTGAAAATGAATGTTTCTAAAAATAAGTTTATTAGTGTACTTTAAAGTTATCTGAGGTCTTATGATTTTGGTATTTTAAGTTTTATAAGTGAAATGACCCAGTTTTCACATATTACAATGCTCATTAAAACTAAATATTAAAGGGTAAATTGCTCTTCAATAGAAAATACAGGTAAGTTTTAGTTTTGCTGAAATTAAATTACTTCATAAGAAAGGTTGTATATATTTTGGAATTAATATTGAGAAATTTCAGGTATCTCTCTTGATGTTTACATCTAAAGTGATTTATTTTATTATTTTTTCCCTAAAGTGACTTATTTTCAAACAATAAAGTGACTTATTTCTCAACAAACTGAGACTTACTTAAAGAAATAACAGCCTAGTATCTTATTGTCCTCTGCTGATAGGAAAGTATTTTCTTTTAATACTGTACTTTGCCATAAAACAAATTTTTCCTTGTTAAAAACACTTTTCTGGATTGTTTTAATAGGCTAGTTCTAGGCTTTAAAGAAAAAAAATATTTTATAAAGTGTATTGTTACATGATAGAAGAAAAATGAAGATATGCATTTATTTGCATCTCCTTTAAATTATTCACAATACTTTGAGGCTTTCATTCTCTCCGGTTAGTGCAATTTATTTTTCTATGTGTCTCAGTTGCAAACAATGTTATTTAGACTCTAACCTGGCATGCTACCACCTCTGGCCCGCCCTTGAGCCCCTCCATCGCAAAGGTCTCCAGGTGCAGTTTGGGTAGCTGCAGGGTGAAGTCATTCCTACTTGCCGCAGACCATGACAGCGAGATCTGATCTCTGACCTAAAGGGAAAAAAACAGCATCAATGGTAATTCCCCTTCAGACACATTAACTGGGATGAACTGGGTCCCCTTGAGCCCACTGAGTGGACTTGCATTGATCGCTGGACCTGAAATCCATGAATAAATTTAGGACTAATTGATTTTTCGTTGCAAATAAATCTCTAATTCAGAGTGCTGGGGGAGAATGCTAAGAAGAAAAAGCATCCTCCTGCTTGAAATGAGGGAGGGGAAGAAGAGTCACTGGAGCTCTTCTGATCAAGAGGTTTTGAATTATTTTTTCACAGTTCCATCCTAAAAAGAAAAAGGGAAGAAAAAACATTCACAAAGTCAAAAACAACAGTAATCTCCTAATCATTATCACCTGCTTAGTAACATGTTGTGTTTAACTGATATGAACTGATATATACTGGACAAGATAATTATTAGGAACTAGTCTTTGAAAAGAAAACTTCAATAATATGTACCCTAGAATTAAAACAAATATACTCAACACAAAAGGAGACTTAATATACAAGTAAAAGGTTTGTTTGTCCTTTTTACTCTTCTAGAATTGCAGGATTTTATTTAACTTGAGTTTTAATGATTGAATACATATAAATCAACACAGCAACACAATTTCTAAACAAAACAACAGATAAAATCAGTAGTATTTGTACTCTATTTTAAGTACGTATTCGTAAAGGCAACAATACAAACACATCACCGACATGGGAGAACCAATTCTCTAGTCAGCATGGAATCACATGCAGTTGATATCACACTGCCACCTTCTGGACAAATGAGAAAATATTCCTTATATAATATAAATGGAAACATTCAAAAAAGACATTATGGTTTCTAATTTCCAAACTTAGTAAAAGCCTTAAGAATCCCACAGTTTAGTTTGCATTTAAAATCAGTAAGCTCTTGTTTCAGTCATATAGTTTAATAATAGGAGTTTTCAATACATGGCATATTTTCTTTCATTATACTTGAATAGGTTTTAAAAATTTATCTATTTGCTACCATATATTTAACAAATATTATACAATTAGCTTAATGCCACAGAACAAAAAGTTTTTTTATGAGGTAGTAAAGGTTAATAACAGGGATAACTATAAATATTCATTAAATACACTTATATCTCTAGTTTTATCCAAGCAACTTCAAATGTAACTTGGCAAAAATATAAGATAGAAAATTTCTCCTTCATTTTTCTATTCTACTCGGGCAGCCTGTAAAACTGTTTGAATTATTTTTATTATCTTAATTAGCTACTTAAGATATATACACATTTCACAAAACTATCACATCCTATTGAGTTTCTTTAAGCCAGAAAACACACACAAACATATGACATCTTTAACTGTCCATGCTAATCTATGGGTATAAAAATCCTTATATGTCCCAAGTTGATCCGAAGACTTTCTGTCAATAAGAAAATGTCAAAGTGTATGCTATAAAACATACACTATGATATAATTTTTATAATGATGTGAGTACCACATGCATGCTGGAGTCCCAATTCAGAATGTATATTTATCTGCAACAAACATTCTCTAGAGTCGTCAATCAGGATAAGAATGCTGTTAAACTTACTTAGCATAACAAAATAAATCACATTCTACAAATACATTTGTTTTAGGTTTTATATTTTACATGTATGAATACCTTCTCTTGCTTTTTTTTGTCACCAATGTGCACTCAGATAAAAGAAAACATTAATGTGGATTAAGGTTCTGAGAATTTATCAACATCAAACCACTAGTGTTTTGCCTTCTACCCTTCTGAACCATAGTCAATAGATCTAAATATTTTACTGCACCCTGGCCAATTCATTGTTTGATGTTTAAAAACTCACCCAGAATCAAAGAAAATTTATTAAATTTGAGCCCCCAAATGAGATACTATTAGCTTTGAAAGTCAAGTTTAACTGCGATATTGATGATTCTCTTTTTTCTGTGACAAAATTCACTAGGGAAATCCTGGATGTCAAAGTACAAAAGCAGATTGCTAATACAGGCAAAGAGAGGGAGAAAAAAACCATACGCAATGTAGGTATAATCCACAACACAGTTCGAGCACTGAAGGTCCTTTAACCTGATTAGTATTAGGCACCATAATTCATCCATGAAGCTTGAAATACAGTGAACAGTAAGCCACATTTTATATTCTCTAAATAAACATTATGAGCAATGTTAAGCTGTGGCATCTTGTATTTAAAACTGATATATTGTCATTTCAATATTTTTGGTATAACATTACTTAATTTGCCAAATTAAATAATTCTTTATATTGAATTTTTAAAACTTGCAAAATGCAACTGTTTTTGCTATGCCTAATGACGAACATCATTTTAATAATATGCATGCTTTAATACTTTCATTTAATTACAAATTATCGGTTGAATGTTGACAGTGCGTGCCACCAAGAGTGAGAGATCCATGATATAAAATAGATGCAATATCACAAATACTTCTACTAAAATTTTAAGAGTTTTTTCCACTTTTAATTAAACTGAAACTTTGAGAGTAGGTATCTAAAATATTCTCAAATATTTCTAGGAAAAATTTTTAGAAAAGTCTTGTAAAAGAATTATCTATAAATTATTTTAATGAGTAAAGGGAGTGAAAGCATCGTGTTGAAAGAATATAAAATAGTGACACTAGGATAAGCAAAAATACAATCATGCAGCAAAGGAGAGAAAAGAAAGATGACAAGGAACAGGAAAAATAAAGGGTAGAAGGAAGAGACTGTTCAGAAAAAATGCAGAAGGCACACCTGAATTTCAAGTTGTGAACAGGGAGATTCTACACAGAACAGTAAAAAAGGACTCTCACCTTGTTGCATTAAATTTGTTCATGAAAAGAATAGAACAGGCAAGCTGAGAACAAAGTAACTAATATATTAAAAGAGAGATAATGTGGAATTTCTTTGGAAAATAGAGCCTATTAGATACAAAATTATTATTTTCAAGAATGAGAATCTAAAGCAAATTACTGTCAAAAAAGTTTTGAAGTAATATTAGAATAGTAAAATTATATTTTTCCTCAAAGGGAAAGTAAGTTTATCTTTTCAAGTACAGAGTTTAGTGTGAATTAGGAATAAAACAACCAGCAGTCACCTGCCTGTAGGTTAAATTATAATTTCAAATAAATTATAATTTCAAAAGTCAAACTTTATGTTTATAACACATTATTATTCATCATATAATTAAGATTCTATACCTCATTATTCTCATTTATTTATACATGTAACTGATACATGTATACAATGTTTTCCTTCTTCAGAATGCCTACAAGCTCATTTTTAACATATAATTTTTTCATAGAATTTCCCAATATAAATCTCATTATTAAATGTTATACCTTCTATAACATTCTTTAAAATCATGCAATATCATATTTTAAAAGAATTTTTAAAACCTATATTACTTCTACTCTAAAGTTTTGATTTTTAGAAAGAACAGTTTACTTACTCCCTTTCTTATTACATACTTTCAGAAAAGAGACATTTCTAATAGACATATTGTAAAAAAACAAGAGAAGAAAAATAAATGAAACTTTCCAAAAAGTCAAAACAGTGCCATGAAATATATTTATTTCAAGATAAATATCTCTTTAAAATATATTTTATTACAATCCAATTCTAGATTTAAGTAATCCACAAGATCAATACTGTACTATTCCTATTTCTCTGATTAGCCTTTACTTACAAGTAAACAACCTGTTTTCTAATTGTTATGCTCCTACCAAAACAAATTTTATAAAAAAGCTATTTGTGCTAGGTATCAACTATAAAATTAAATTAGTCAGTTTCAGAAAAATTGCTCACCTCCTTCCATCTTTTATCATGCACAGCTATAAATCCCTCTGGATTCCATCTTCCAATTTAAAAAAAACTCATGATTTACTAGCTTAGCTGTATTTTTACCAATAGGATACCAAGCCAGAAGATGTCAAGGTATATGTAAAAACTGAGGTAGACTTAAAAACATGTAAGAAGATGCACACATTGTCTGAATCCTGAATGCCTAGGAATGGCAACTGATATTGGGGCTTGGTGTCATACTTTTAATCTGCTTAAATTTTATTCGCTCCAATCTATTATGGCCTCCAGTGCTTCAAAATAAACCTTTTTACCAAATATATTCCAATGTGAAAACAGGCCTCTACAATATTTCTTATAATCTCCATTCTCATCATCCTGTGTTCATGTTGTACTTTGCCTCCATTTTCTTGCCCTCCTTTGTCCTACTCCCTCCCTTGTACTTCCTTCCATTCCCACTGATTATTTACTGCTTCCCCTTCTTCCTTATATTTTTCATTCTATGCACTAGAACAGCCTGCATACTATTTTTCTATCTAGCCACCAGAGAGCAGTGTACAGTCAGCACACTACAGCCTGGGAACCAAATCCAGCCCACTGTCTGTTATTATAAATAAAGTTTTATTAGAACTATACCTATTCATTTACCTATTGCCCATGGCTGCTTTCCTGTTACAATGACAGAGTTGAGTAGTTGAGACGAAGACCATAATGGTTCACCAAGCCTAAGATATTTACTATCTGGCCTTTACAGAAAAAAAAATGGTCATCCTCTCCTCTGGAGATACAGAAGAAAGATAATATTTTTATCATTTATTAAGATTTTTTTAAATGACTACCTCTCAAGAGAGAATCTACAATTTCTAGTGAGGCAAGCTTATATCGCCAATACAGGGTACCATCTCAAAGACACTTTCTGGTTCCTTTCTGCAATTTTTCCAGAAATTAGTTACCATCTCCTGATATATTTTCAAGTTTTATACAGTCTAATACACAACTTGACAGGTCCTAACTTTCCTGACCATAGCTAACTTTCCCAGTCATAACTACTGACTTATCCTAATACCTAATTAACATAAATTCTGGTTAAACAAGTAGAAGAGGCATACTGGAGAGTCTTTTGTAAATACAAAGAGAAGGCAACTAGCCAGAGTTAACCATATACTCTGTAATATACAGTAGCAAAAAAACACTATGCTTTCAGAGACTCTTAGGAAGTATGATCAGACAAGAATACCATTCTAAACTCATGAATTCTACAATGTATAAAAAGAGGAAATAATAATAATATATATATACACATATATGAAATTAGACAGTTACAAGACTCTGATATATGCTCAGTAATAGGAGGAAGGATCAAAGTGTGTCAATGAAATGAGAATGATATTCAGGGATAGGACAGTTATATATAAATGGATACTTTCCTCCTTTAACCTTTTCTTTAACTATTTAATTAATCAAATGGACAGATAGATAACAATACTATTTCTATTAGTAATAATATAATTAGTACCTCCAAAAGTAATTCATACTTT